GGCAGGCACATAGTAAACAACAAGACAAATACATTCTGAATGTCCTAACGCAACCACTCCACACGGATAATTTAACTATTGATTCCCGCTTGTCACATTACTTACTCGCATCCCATTGTCTCTTACACGTTACGCAACATCCTTTATCCATCCCTGTCACTCCAACCATGGCTCTATTTATATCCTTGTCTAGCGTAGGAAATATTACATGCTTTTAATAAACTAAGCCAGAGATGTCGAAAACAATAACTGAGTGAGTGAACTCTGTATTAAGGCAATTGTACTTACAAACAGTTGTTTAAAATAATTGCTTAAAAATTTAATGCCTCGAACAAAGACTTTTCTTTTATAGTTTTTATTGTATTGTAAGCCGTGGTAGCTTTATGGTACGACCTACCGCCTCTCAAGCAGAGGCCGTAGGTTCGGATGCGGTCTAGCACATCTGAATTTTCAGAATGTATGTGCAAAATTTAATTTGAAATTTACCATGAGATTTTCGGTTTTGAAAAACATCATGATGAAACCTACATTTCGAAGAAGGTTCACAACCCTCGAAAAACGTGTGAATGTGAAATCCCCAACTCACATTAAACTAGCTTGGCGGACTAGGGTCTAAACCCTCGCCGGAGACCTGTGCCCAGTAGTGGAACGTATAAAATGAGATGATGATGGTGAGTTTTTATTGCCTTATTATAGTTAAAACAAAAAGAAAAGGAAAAATACCAAAAAATTACAATACATTTTACTTAATTTTATATGAATCGTACAACAACAAAGTGGCTTTAAAAAAGAAAAACTCTTCAATTTAATTTAAGGAATTTTTTCTAAGTGTTCGATCTTTGTATTAATAATTATAACAAACTAGTGGAGTAATTTCACATAAAAATAATTCAATAATCAATTCAATACAAATTTAAAATCTACAATTTGAACACATTGAAATTCCATCAACCTACTGACATCTCGGTAAGTTAAAAAGTATATTTGCTTAAGAGGGAGCAGAGGAAAAATTCCTAATCTTCGATTTGATTTTAGAGGGGTATATCAACTTTAAAGTTAAAAATAAAATATTGTATGAGTAACTACACGATATATTCAAGCATAGATATTAATCAGCAACATAAAACAATAAAGTTTCCTCGATAGATAAAAATCACTAAATGACCTCTAATTTTCACTTTTTTCGATTTATCATCGAAATGCTACAGGTTATTAGGACAAAAATTAGATGATTATATTTAAAATGCATGATCGACAACTCTCACTACGGATTTTTTTTAATCCCTTTAGTTTTAGAGTTGTCCCGCTAAAACGAATTTGTTACTTTTAATGCGCCAAATTCAACATCTCCTGTCGCATCTCTCATGTCACGCGAACTTCAGGCATATATTTGTTTCACAAATTTGGGCTCTTAAATAACGGTTTCTCTAATACTTCCGTTATTGATAAAATACTTCATAGAAAACTTAAAGTAAAATTCTCAGAAATTCACATTGATGCTACTTACTCCCAACTGCATCTTACCGTTAGTAATCTCATTGAGGGTACGTTGACTCCAGCAGGAAGGAAGTATCAGAGATAGGTTTATTACAATCCAGCCGGTGTCTGGCGACGATTGATCTTGTTCCGATGCTACGCCTGTTGGATCCCTCTAATAGTGTTATTAGTTATAGTGAATTGGAAACGTATTTTTGTTTTTTTTATGATACCAAGTGACGGAACGAACAAGTCGTGCGCCTGGTGGTACGCGACACGCCTCTCCATAACAGTTGCAGTGCCCCTCAGAACTTTAAATCGTAAAGATTAGAGGGACCCTGCCACTGCGCCCTTCACCCTGAGACATAAGTTGACAAATCCCATGTGCCTGTAATTTCACCAGCACCCTTACCCTTCAAAACCGGACACAGTAATGTTCACATTACTGCTTGGCGACAGAAATAAGTAAGGTAACAGTACTTCCCTGGGCGGACCATAAAGAGCGCTACTGCTATTAAAAATTTTTCTTTTTCTTTCTCTTTCAAGGTTCGTTAATGTACTGACTAGACTCTAACTAGAGTTCTAACTAGCACTGTTCTGTTCTTTAACGCACTTTACTCCTATGTTATAACCAGTGATCGTAATTGTAATAGTTAATTTACCTAAAGTATGAACGTTTTCTTAGAAATCTATGAAAAATTCCAATTTAGTCATATTACGACGTATGCCATTTCATGATATGACCAAAAAAATCACGTAATTCATATTACAATATGAATGCGTAAAAAAATTTGTTTTTACTATTTATTTTCGAAACATTTCTAAATCTATTGTCTCATGTTTCTTTTTTTAAATGACTAAAGTCATAGGAAATGAAACTATTTCTCCGGATTTAAATCGCATATATTTGTTACAAACAAACCAACGTGTCGGACCCTTTACAGGTGCCATGGTCACGATTGACTGAGGCGGTATAGTCATCAGTTTGAAAAAACAAATATACCTACGCGATTTAAATCTGGTAAAATAGTTACATTTCCTATGTGTAAGAATCGCGAAAGCCTTAGAACTAGACTAGTCATTTAAAAAGGAAACTCCGCCTGACGGCCTCTGCCTGAATACCTATAGAAACAGAACTACATTATCATATTTTGAGACAATAATTTCCAACAAATTATTACTCAATAGGAAATAATAGTTTGTCACCAATGTACCCAAATTTCAATAATAAATACGCATATTCAAATATAATCACTTTCGAGGAGTCCCGGGATTTGTAAAGGGGAATGTCCACATTATTCATTAGTTTAGCTCTCACTACTGTTTCTAACTTTTCATTATAATTACCACTTTAATATTGTTTTTGTTAATTATATTACACATAACGCATTTTATTAGCTAAAAAGTAAACGGACACAAAATCAGTGTAACTATATAGTTATTATATTTGTTATCTACCTACAATCTTATCAGTAACATTACCTTCTTTGATATTCCATAATAACAGCTATGAAGTCGGTAATAATGTTTAAAGCACGTAACCTATCGAAAAATGTAATGCATACAAATTTATATATATTAAATTGAAATTGAACGTATTCCCTTGCTAATATATATTTATAATAGTTACTTAAAGCAATAAAACACCTAAATGTGTATATATAGCTAGACCATACACTACACGGACAAAGACTTCTCTAAAAATAAACGTAAGCCCTCGTAGAAACTTTAGTCAGCGTCCAGATTTAGAAGTGACATAACGATCACAAACTCTTCATTACAAAACTAGTATGACATTTATGTAAACAAATTAATAGAACAAAGCTTCATCGCCTACCAGTCGGCGTTGCCAATGCCAGTTCAGCAAAGTTCATAGTCCCCACAAATTTCCTACATCTCAGTTCGCATTTTCTTTTTTTATAATACCAAGTGACAGGACGAACAATCGTGCGCCTAGTGGTAAGCTACACGCCTCTTCATAACAGTTACAGTGCTACTCAGAGCTTTAAATCGCAAAAATGTTAGGGGCACTGCCACTGCACCCGTCAACCTGAGACATAAGTCCCGCATGTGCTTGTAATTTCACCAGCCATCACCCGAACCAGAACGCAGTAATGCTCACATCACGGCTTGGCGGTAGAAATAGGTAAGGTGGCAGTACTTCCCTGGACGAACTCTTTCACAAGGAGTTCCGCTGCCACTACAAGGCAAACTCTCATATTTATTACAAATCATTCGCTTAAAATTATAACAAAGAATTTAGAAACTTAAAATGTAATCTACTACGTTTGCTGTGAATGTAAATGACAAACAAAACGTAAAATGTCAAGCAAATTATATAATTTGATAACCTTAAATCGT